CAGGATTCATTGCTTGTACTTCTACTCATGCGTTTTTCATTATAAGTCACCTGTCTGTATCTGCATCAATTCTGGCAAGAAATTAGTTTGGGTTTTTCCATATTTCCTCTGAGCTCATTCGACCGGTAGGAAATCATTTTCCCAGACATGATCCACAACCCGTCTCTTCACGGCTTGAGTTGAGGTATGACACGGCGAATAAGACATTCCAGCCTCCATAGTCTTTGTCGATTTTCCTGACTACTACTTGTCGCCGCTGCCTATGGGACCGCCTGTGTGTGGACTGTAGTTTAATACAAGACAGAACGCAAATCGAAATAGGTAAACGGCTGGGTTTTATTCGAAGCGCTATAAACCGCTGACAGTTCTGTCGGCAAACGCGCTTTCTTTGCGCATTTTATCAGTTCATACATAACCATCTCCGAATCCATATTGGCTAGGCCTTTATTTTACATCGCACGCACACTACAACCATTTGTTAATGATGAAGGCACCGCCACAGAAAGTTACATGGCCGTACTTGTCACATGTAGTTTACCTGCCAGGTAGGATCATGTCTTACCGTTGCTGTCCGTGCACCGGGACGAATATAAAAAAGCTTTATGCTAAAGGATTTACTCTAAATTCGATTTTTCAATTTTGTCTCCGTCCTATTTCCTGTACTTTAATAAAGCGACTTTTTGACCTCTGGAATTGCTTACGTCAACGCTACGGACCATTTGGAAACAATTCATAGTCACATGATATAACATACTGAGGGCACAGGTACTAGCTAAAGGTCAAAACACGGGTTTCGCCGATATTCTACCGTTGCATGACGCCACTGGGGATCTCAGTTTCTCCGTGCCTCCCAGCCAGTCAGAAGAAAAACCAACAGAGTCAAGGGAGACCGGAATTGCAATTTCTAGCTTATTAGGTGTTCTGAGCCAGCCAATCCTAGATTTGGATCACCTAAGATTAAAACCCGCGACCATTTGGTCATTGAGTGTAACACTCTAACTTTGTGTCATGGCTGGTAGAACATA